ACTTCCCTGAATATCTGTCTCCATCCCTTCGAGCTCCCACATCTATCCTCAGCGTCGGTATGAGTGTATTGCAGGAGTCGCGAGGAGGATGTGGCCAATGAGAAGTCTGGAGGGTCACGGGCTTGTATTATACTTTGGATCCCCATATGTACTATGTACTCAGCGCGCCGTAATGAGACTGTAAAGCTGCATTCTGCAGCGTGTTTTGAGGCATTATCGCACTGCGTTACGAGTGATGTCCTATCGATATCCTGCGGTGAGCGAGAATCTAGCACTCGGAAACCGCGCAAATTCCCCTGTTCCACAGGTGTAAATCCTGCTTTTCCAACACACGGTCAAACCTGGGGTTTTCTCCTGTCCGAGACCACGCCAAATTGACCGTGGAAATCGGTCATTTCGATGTCCTTTTTCCTCGTCCGAAAAGCCAGGTCTAACCGAGGTTTCGGAGCACGTTTCCCAGGCACGACAGGGCATTTTCCTCGGTTGCCCACCCGGGGTTTTCCACAGCCCTCTGTCTCACAGTGTACGTCCACACTATACTCGCCTACCCCGCCTTACGCAGCCGACATCCGCGACCCTCCCCTTGTAACACGCCACCATCGGCAATACCATAAGCGGCCCTGGAACCCTTGATGAGTACTCCTCGCTCGATGTCTCCTCGCTTGATGTGTCTTACCTCGTCGACCTTTCATGCAGTCAGGTAAACTGCACGTTTCTGATTCTTTTGGCACATTGTTGTGCGATGCGTACTGATGTGACTTCTCTTCGATCGCCTCGCCTTTTGGCGGACACAAATTGGCCGCCTCACACTCGAGCCTACGTCTCGGAACCTCCTTGGTAGTCTCGTAGTCCATCCCTCGAGTATTCATTCTTCGAGTCCCCGGAATACACAATACCCATGTCTGCAGACAGCCGTTCACATCCCGCTCCAGCGCAGCGTCTTTGAGGCATCTCCCTGCGGATGTGCGCCGCTCTCGACAGGCTTAGTAGTATGGGCCTCACCAGGACGTATCTGGCCGTGCTCCATGACTTGTCTTCTGGTGCTTGACTCCTTCGGTATACCAGTCCAGGCGACGGGGACATGTCCCATCATCTCTAGCACCCTCAATAGGGACATCGTGCAGGCTGCCCTCAACGTAAGACTGAGCCCACCTTGTGTATCTATCGTCGACACGACATGATCTCAATGTCGTCATGAATCAATACCCGAGCGCATGCAGCGCCCGACGTACCCGTCCCAACGCCTCCGCCGCCTCGGCTTCTCAGGCTCGTGAGCTAGGCATGGTGGATGGGGTCCCGCAGTCAACGAATATGATCGCTTCGCAAAGGAGATGCCGGTTATGAGGAATATCGAAGTCCGTGTACTGCCGGCTACTGTGCCATGACTATCCAGCGTCCCCCTCTCCCAGGAATATCTGTTTCATGTTCACGATGTGCCATACTTTTTAGTGTTTGCTTGTTTGTGCTCTCGAACGCAATAAAAGTCGAGATCAGAGTTGTTGTCCTACGCAGCGCGCGCGTACACGGGGCCCGGTTGAGTAGTAGACGCCCATTTAACGCCTGCAGCATCTGCTTGGTCTCGGCACAGAGCAGTATCGCTCACCGTGTCATTGTGTCATCCATCAACACTTCGAGGACCCATGTCTTCTACGAACGACCTTACGAACTCTCCGCGTCTCTCGCAATCGCAACCATCTACCGCGCAGTTCCCAGCCCTTCCATGGGAGGTCATCGAGAGGGTCATCGAGCTCTGCTCCAGCGACAAGGCCACGCTGTGCGCTTTCGCTCTTACCTGCAGCCAGCTCCATCCTCGTAGCCTCTATGTTCTCTTCTCCAATGTCGAGATACAGAGCGCGAAACAGCTCAAGACGTTCTACGATGCTGTTCAAGCTCAGCCGCGCCTTCAGCCTCTCGTGCGATCTCTGTCATTTCCATGCGAGGATTTCTCTCCATTCCCACTGCTGTCCATCCTCCCCGGTCTCCGTCATCTCACATTCGATAGGATGTCGTCGGCGATTGGGGACACTATCCAACATTCCCAGTCCACTCTACTTGGCAGGCAGTCCGTAACTAGCCTTCGGAGCCTGACCATTCGCTGCGCTAGGTTCCAAACGCAAGCCACCCTCCTTCGCTTCCTGTCAGCCTTCCCGAACGTCGAAATCCTCACCTGCGAGGAGCTGTCAATAGATCCGCATGCTCCTCTCAGAGAAGGTGATGTATCTCATCAACTGCAGCTGCGAACGCTGAATGTGAGGATCATCATGGTCATCTGTGTCCCTCCGCCTGACCCTCTGAGTTGCCTTTCAGATACTTCAAGGTGTGAACGGGACTGAGCTGCTGGTACGGATGGCTCGACTTGTGCCTCCTAGTACATTCGCGATCGGGGAACATACTCGTCTGTATCCCGTCCCGTCTCCCAGTTGTATACTCATGTAATCCAGATCATAATCGTCCTCTATGCCGCTCCCTCAATCAGGCGAGGATCGCCGATCCTCCTTAACATGGTGTATACACCCCTGGCCCAAAATACTCGAACATGCCATCGAAGTCCTACGCGGTTCACAAAACACGGCGATAAGAGATGTTACTCTGGTCCTCTGGGATTCCAACGTTGGATCTCTGTACGAGCAATGTCGTCGACCTGCTACTCTCGAACTGTGTGGAGCCCTGGAGAAGGTCCTGCTCCGCTATCCTGCTCGCCGCGTACTATTGGCTGTTTCCGGTGGGACAATCCTGAATGCGCGGAAGACGATCTCCTGGTCAGACGAGTTCAACAAGTGCTTCCGTCCTCTAGGCGAGCAATGGGCGCTGGCTGATGATGTCAGATACTGTGAGTGTCGTTCATGGTTCACTAACCACGATCGTGGATTCGATATCGATTTGAGCAGCTGGTAAACCCGGGCATGACTCCCATGTCACCGCACTTGTCGTCGCCTCAGATGGGCGCTGGGTAGCGACGGCCTCCACGGATTCCACCATCATCCTCTGGGATGCCCGAGACGTATGCATCTCGCAAGAGTGGTTTGCCCGTGACGGAGAGGTGTGGGACCTCGCGTTCTCTCCAGACAGCCGACACCTCGCGTCTGCAGGTGAAGACGGTGCGGTCGCCATCTGGGACATCAGCGGCAGCGCACACCAGGTCGCCTCTCTCGAGGGCCATCCTGCTGCCGTCACAAGCTGCGCGTGGTCCAGCGACGGTGCTTGGATCGCATCCCGAGACCGCAGCAGAACTATACGGCTCTGGGACGGACGGACGTTCCAACCGCAACCCCTCGGCAGTGCGAACGAGAGAGCGTTCATCGAGCCCCTGTTCTCTCCTGACAGCCGCTGGCTTTTCGTGCACCATGTGGGCAAATGTGGAGTTTGGGACGTATTGTCTGGCGCATACCTCGAGCTCGAGATGTCGCCAACTACCGGTAGCGACAGGTATCCCGTCAGCGCCGCATTCAGTCGCCCGAGTGCGCGTGTTGCCGTCGGCTATGGTGGTGGGACCATTCGGGTTTTGGACACGGGGACCAGACAGGAGCTCATGCTCTTGAAGGCGCACGAAGATCTGGTCCGCGACGTGGCTTTCTCCCCGGATGGCCAGCTGCTGCTCTCGGCGTCGGATGACGAGACGATGAAGGTGTGGGATGCACACACGGGTGCTGTGGTCCAGTCGCTTATGGGGCACGAGGACCCGGTGCGCAGCGTATGCTTCTCCCCAAGCGGGAAGTATGTCGTCTCTACCTTCGACGAAGGCGCGATGCCAAGGGTTTGGAGGACGAGCGACGGATCGTGTTTCGCAACTCTCTCCGACCACGGCTGCTGGGTTTCCCACGTTGCGTTTAGTCCGGACGGGACAATGTTGTGGTCTGGCGCGGTAAATGGGACTGTCTTGGGTCGTCGGCTGCAGGACATCGTTCCGGACGAATTCGAATCGTAGATTGACTTGTACAGTAGACCCTGTGGTGTCGCTCATGGTATTCGAATTAGCCCCGCTTGGTGATTCGCACTACTGCTATTCCCATAACGGCTTGGCCTACGCCATCTGTGCGTTGAATTATACCTTCAAATCGCTCGCCCCCGGGATAGCAATGGGTTCTGCAATGCTGCTGCTATATTTACTAGAATGATACCCCAAGCGCAAGAAATCTCGAGTACGGACAGCACTGTGGAACGCGAAGGCCATTCAGGTCATACTCATTGCGTAGATAAGACATTGTGAGTTTACTTTCTTGCTCCATTCTTTGATTTCCAAGCTGAGTTTCGCCGTCGGAGACCTGACGTGCCTGAGGAAAGAAGGAGCTGTCCAGCAGCCAATAGGCCCAAGGCCGCAGTCTGGTACCCCTTGCTTAACCCCGGCGCACGCATAACACGCTCGACCGGGGCCCCGGCAGGTCCTGCGACTCTCCCTGGGTTTGGGGCATGGATCGAAGAATCTGCAACTTCCGCATGACGCTATCGAACCGCACACGTCAGATGTCTATTCGATCCCCTATCGCGCCTGCTGTGTCGAGCGTAGCGCACCAGTTCCTGCCATGCAGCGAGCGCTCGCAGCCTTGCTCCGCAACGCCTATCTCCGCCGTCACTTCAGCCTTGGCTTGGGAGTCGTTCTGTCTCATCAGGAAACCTGGGAATCACTTAATGCCCCTTAAAATCGCCTTTAAGGGCATTAAGGCGCTTAAGATGGCTTTAAGGCCGTCTAAGACGTAAGCATTAAGATGCTCGATTAAGACGCATTAAGACGATTAAGACGGGCGAGTGCAAAAACGTTCTGCACCGTCGTATGGCATACCGGCCTCTGTCACAATGTCTGCACAAGTTCCAATAGTTCTCTCACTCTGCTCTTCTCAACCCTTGGCACGTATGCTGCATGGTTTACACAGTCGAGGGCGAGCAGCTGGAAAATATGCGTGGGAGAGCTAAGTGGCTTAAGGCGCTAAGCCATTAAGCTAATGCACGGTTTACTGATGCTGGCAGTCCGCCATTTGATGGAGTGGACACGTAGCTCAGATTGGCTTCGGAGGGCGTGTGCTGACCTATGCGGTTAATCACATGCGAGGCAAGTACTCACATATATTCCGTATGTTGTCATGCGCTTAAAGTACACGGGAGACCTTGACGTGGTAGGGCGCGTTGGACGGCAAGCTGATATTGCTCAAGATAAGTGCGAAGCAGCTAGTAGTCCAGTCCGAGAGTCCCCCATCAAGCTAGGAAGTACCTATCTGCGACGGCCGTGCAACTTTCGATGAATGCCTTGACCCACTGGCAGGCATCGTACTGCGGTAAAGCGCTGCAGAAGTCTTCTGCCCGCCCATAATGATCATTAGGGCACGAGTGCGGAAAGACGCCTACGGCGCTCTTCGGCGCTTCCGTGTAGCTTGCTGGTCTCGACGTGTAAGTATTTGGTCCTGCCGTTAACTTCTGCCTTGCCGCGTAACCATGACCCAAGGCACTGTTCTCGACAGACAGCCTGCAAAGTCTCTCTATCTAGCTTACTTTGTGAGCTCTCTTATCATCTGCAAGCTTCCGTTTTGGTCTGTGCGGTATGCTCGTCCCTCGCAGCGGCCTCGTCCAACCTGGACCTGGAAACGCACAATGATCATCCGGATGATGCAGGAGCTATTCTCATGCAAAGTCAAGGTCAAAATCGGGTCTGGAAGAGATACACTCTCAGCCGTCCCCGACAGCTCTCTAACTGACGCCAAGTTCGTCTGGGTGGAGGGGATCGATGAGTCGTTATACTGTGGCGAGATCCGCCGTCTGGGGGACATCACTGGCGTCCTTCCCGCCCGAATCGCGGGTTATTGGTTGCTGAAGAAGGGTGCCGTCTGGGATGGTCCCAAGGCAAAGCCTGGCGAAAAGACTGTCCTCCACTTGCACGGTGGAGCGTTCTATGTGTGTAATTCAATGCTGCTGACATCTTACCTGCATGCAATGAAATAATCGACCCTAT